AGTGTCTAGATCTAGGGAAGTAATGCTACCCCTCTATTCCGCTTTGGTTAGACCACAACTGGAATATTGTGTCCAATTCTGGGCACCACAATTCAAGAGAGATATTGACAAGCTGGAATGTGTCCAGAGGAGGGGACTAAAATGATCACGGGTCTGGAGAACAAGCCCTATGAGGAGCGGCTTAAGGAGCTGGGCATGTTTAGCCTGAAGAAGAGAAGGCTGAGAGGAAGATATGATAGCCATGTATAAATATGTGAGAGGAAGCCACAGGGAGGAGGGAGCAAGCTTGTTTTCTGCTTCCCTGGAGACTAGGACGCAATGGAACAATGGCTTCCAACTACAAGAGAGGAAATTCCATCTGAACATGAGGAAGAACTTCCTGACTGTGAGAGCCGTTCAGCAGTGGAACTCTCTGCCCCGGAGTGTGGTGGAGGCTCCTTCTTTGGAAGCTTTTAAACAGAGGCTGGACACCCATCTGTCAGGGGTGAATGTGATTTTCCTACTTCTTGGCAGGGGGTTGGACTGGATGGCCCATGAGGTCTCTTCCAACTCTTTGATTCTATGATTCTATGATTTATATACATGTATTTCTACATATTTATCTACATAAGTATATAGTATATATTTTCCCCATATATATTTCTCTAAATATATATGTATACACAAAGATATATGTATTTCTCTGCATATTTATATTGTTGGTATTTGTTGAGTTGCTTCCGCCTCTTGGTGCCCTCCTGGCCCATCTCAGGCCAGAGCTCCCTGTCGGCTGTGGTCACCCACAGCTCCTTCAAAGTCAAGCCATTTCCTTCAAGGATACCATCCACCCACCTTGTCCTTGGTCGGCCCCTCTTCCTTTTTCCTTCCCTTATCCTCAGCATCATTATCTTCTTCCAAGCTTTCCGGTCTTCTCATGATGTGGTCAAAGGACTTCATCTTTGCCTGTAATCTCCATCCCTCTAGTGATCAGTTGGGCCAGTGGTTCTCAACCTTCCAAATGCCATGACCCCTGAATGCAGTTCCTCATGTGGTGGTGACCCCCAAACATAACATTATTTTTGTTGCTACTTCCCAGCTGTAGATTTGCTACTGTTATGAATCATAATGTCAATATCTGATATGCAGGATGTATTCACTAGACCCAATTTGGCACAAATACTCGATACGCCCAAATTTGAATACTGGTGGTGTTGGGGGTGGGGGCAGATTGATTCTGTAATTTTGGAGTTATAGTTTCTGGGATTTATAGTTCACCTACAATCAAAGAGCATTCTGAACTCCACCAACGATGGAAAGGAAGCAAACTCCCATGACCAACAGAAAATACAGGAAGGGTTTGGTGGGCATTGACCTTGAGTTTTGGAGTTGTAGCTCACCTACATCCAGAGAGCACTGTGGACTCAAACAATGATGGATCTGGGCCAAACTTGGCACGAATACTCAATATGCCCAAATGTGAACGCTGGTGGAATTTGGGGGAAGATAGATCTTGACATTTGGGAGTTGTATTTGCTGGGATTTATAGTTCACCAACAATCAAAGAGCATTCTGAACTCCACCAATGATGGAATTGAACCAAACTCGACACACAGAACTCCCTTGACCAACGGAAAATACTGGAAAGGTTTAGTGGGCATTGACCTTGAGTTTTGGAGTTGTAGTTCACCTACAACCAGAGAGAACTGTGGACTCAAACAATGATAGATCTGGACCAAACTTGGCACGAATATTCAATATGTTCAAATATGAACACTAATGGAGTTTGGGGAAAATAGACCTTGACATTTGAGAGTTGTAATTGCTGGGATTTATAGTTCACCTACAATCAAAGCACATTCTGAACCCCACCAATGAGAGATTTGGGCCAAACTTCCCACACAAAAAATACTATTTTCTGATGGTGACCCCTCTGACACCCCCTCGCGACCCCCCCGAGGGGTCCCGACCCCCAGGTTGAGAAACACTGAGTTGGGCTTTCTTCCCTGGAGGATAGACTGGTTGGATCTTCTTGTGGTCAAAGGCACGCTCAGGATTTTCCTCCAGCACCACAATTAAAGCGTCTATCTGTCTGTCTATCTATCCATCCAAATCTATCTATATATATAAAAATGCTCTGTGCATAATGAGTACCTTAAAACCAAAAGAACCAATGAACGAAATCACACCAAATTTGGCAACAAAACGTCTCACAACACAAGGAGTGACCATCACTCAAAAAATTATGATTTTGTCATTTGGGATTTGTAGTTGCTGGGATTTATAATTCACCTACAATCCAAGAGTATTCTGAACTCCATCAACGATGGAATTGAATCATAGAATCATAGAGTTGGAGGAGACCTCATGGGCCATCCAGTCCAACCCCCTGCCTAGAAGCAGGGAAATCGCATTCAGATGGCCCCCGACAGATGGCCATCCAGCCTCTGTTTAAAAGCTTTCAAAGAAGGCGCCTCCATCACACACAGAACTCCCATGACCAACAGAAAATACTGGAAGGGTTTGTTGGGCACTGACCTTGAGTTTGGGAGTTTTAGTTCACCTACATCCAGAGAGCACTGTGAACTCAAACAATGATGGATCTTGACCAAACTTGGCACATGCACCCAATATGCCCAAATATGAACACAGATGGAGTTGGGGGGAAATAGACCTTGACATTTGGGAGTTGTAGTCACTGGGATTCACAGTCCACCTACAGTTCACATGATACTCTATGTAGTATCATTAATGTAATAATATTGATATAGTAATTATTATAATAATATGATGATAGCTGCTTTTTAAGCCAAGAAAGTAAGGAGAATGATATGTAATGTAATGCAATGCCGCCTACTGTTGGGCCTTTGCAAGAACTGGAAATCCTTGTGCAGCAGCGCCCCCTTCTGGTGACCGATGGCCCTGCAAGAACAGCATTTTTTTGTGTCAGGAGTGACTTGAGAAACTGCAAGTCACTTCTGGTGTGAGAGAATTGGCCGTCTGCAAGGACGTTGCCCAGGGGACGCCCGGATTATTTGATGTTTTTATCATCCTTGTGGGAGGCTTCTCTCATGTCCCCGCATGAGGAGCTGGAGCTGATAGAGGGAGCTCATCCGCCTCTCCCCAAATTCGAACTTGCAACCTGTCGGTCTTCAGTCCTGCCGGCAAAGGGGTTTAACCCACTGCGCCACCGGGGGCTCCATTTGTAAGCAAGTAATAACTAAGAACCCATTATAAGTAAGTGATAACTAAGTGATCAATCCTATTATAACCCTGTGATAACCAAGTCATAACTAACTGGTAACTCATTCTAAATAATTGAGAACTTAAGTGATAACCAAGTTGTAATTGATAACTGCAGTTATAACCAATTGACAACAAAGTTATAATTGCTAACTATAGTTATGACTAATTGATAACGAACCAATAGCCAAGTTATCATTGCTAACTATAGTTGTAATAATTGATAACGAATCAGTAGCCAAGTTATAATTGATAACTATAGTTATAATTGATAACGAATCAATGGCCAAGTTATAATTGCTAACTATAGTTGTAATAACTGATCATGAATCATTAAAAAGGGTCTTTTTGCAGAATTGTCTTGGAAGTGAAAAGACAGGTGTCTGTGAGTGTATACGTGTGTGTATATATATACACACACACATTTCGAAAGTTATGGCTATATATATATATATATATATATATATATATATATATATATATATATATGCGCTCTGTGCATAATGAGTACCTTAAAAACAAAAGAACCAATGAACGAAATCACACCAAATTTGGCAACAAAAGTCTCACAACACAAGGAGTGACCATCACTCAGAAATTATGATTTTGTCATTTGGAGTTGTAGTTGCTGGGATTTATAGTTCACCTACAATCAAAGAGCATTCTGGACTCCATCAACGATGGCATTGAACCAAACTTGGCACACAGAACTCCCACGACCAACAGAAAATACTGGAAGGGTTTGGTGGGCATTGACCTTGAGCTTGGGAGTTGTAGTTCACCTAAATCCAGAGAGCACTGTGGACTCAAACAATGATGGATCTGGACCAAACTTGGCACAAGCACTTAATACGCCCAAATATGAACACAGATGGAGTTTGGGGGAAATGGACCTTGAAATTTGGGACTTGTAGTCACTGGGATTCACAGTTCACCTACAATCAAAGAGCGTTCTGAACCTCACGAACGACAGAATCGGGGTAAAATTCCCACCCAGAACCCCCATGACCAACAGAAAATACTTAAGGTCATCCAGTCCAACTCCCTTCACCAGGGCAAGAAAACGTAATCAAAGTCCTCCTGACAAAGAGCCATCCGGCCATACATATAGATAGATACGTATGATTCACACACAGATCATAGATTTGAAAGGGACCCCTAAAGAAGGACAATGATATGTTGCATGTTCCAGGGTGGGCAAACCAGATACTCTCCACATCAACACTGACAAAGAAACAGCAAGAAATACTGTTTACCATAAGCATAAAGAAATTACATATATTAGAAACCAACACTTTCTCATTACTTTATTTTCCAGATCAACAGACTGGGCCACAGCAATGCGTGACAGGGGACAGCTAGTGTGTGTGTGTGTGTGTGTGCGACTCCTTCCTCCACAAACAGGCTATAGCTCCCACTCCTCAGGAGACACCAAAGGCTGTCATTTCAATGACATGGCAGGTTATAATGAGTGCCATGAACACGTCCAAGAGCCCTGCCACTGTCCTCCACATGCATCACACTGCCCACCACCCAAGTTAAGGGTTTCATTTGGGGACCATTCCATCCTAAATTGTGTGTGTTTCCTCCACTACAGGCATCCCAGTCTTCCTTAGTCTCTCTCCATTGGTGTGGAATTTGCATGACCCTGATCACTGCTCCTCCCATAATTCTTTTCTATGGCACACGGCAAACAGATACACACACATACACACACAGGCAGACATGGCTTCCAAGAAACCCAATTTCCAGGTGTAATAGAATGTACAGAATCCAGACAATTCGGCATCTTTTTATTTTGGAGTTTTGGGTTGTTTACAAATATATATATCTCTATCTATATCAGTCTTCTGTTGCCCGAAAGGTCCGTTTGATGCCTTCTTTGGAAACTGAAGAAACAAATAAAAAAAGGAAAAAATAAATACCAATGTATTTCAATGAGTTTCCTCCTTTTGGCGCCTGACAGAAATAGCCACAGAGCAGGTAATGCCAGCCTAATCCACTTTCCAAACCAGGCTCGCAGAAGCATTAAGCCTCTTTGGTCTGAAATAGAACCCCAATCCATGGAGGGAATGAAGACACACCACTTGGAATAATTGAAATCTGAGACATTTGCTTCCACGGTATTAGCTCACAATAACTTCTGTGATGTTTGCGAATGATAACTGCTCAATAAGTGTACTCAAAAATAATTGCATCATGTGTATTAACCTCTGCTCTGATTTGCAACAACACTGTGCATATATTGATAACTGCCTAATAATGCAGTAATGCAAGTTGATATTGATCACTGCTCTGCGCCTAAAGGTTAGCATCTAGTTAGGCTCCGAGAAGGGCCAGTTCGACCAGGGATGAAACTTCAACAAACAGATTTAATGGAGTTGTTTGTGAACACTTTCAAGCTTAAACATAGGGAGGAAGACAGCAAGGTCATAAATAAAGGGCCTGGATAATATCAATACATTATGTACACACATACAAACAAACACAGATAATACAAGAATACATACATACATATAAACAAACACATATGTACAAATACAGACGACTGCTTTGAGCAGGAAGGGATAAAACACATAGTTTTCCTTTATTTGGGGTTATTACATACAGATGAATGGATGCACAAACAACTGGAAGCTCCCCCTTTTTCTTTGGCAGCAAAAGGATTCAGCCGTTGACCAGAGACTGGAGCACTGAGGCCAAAAGAGGAAGAAAGAAGCAAGGAAGGAAGAAAGGAAAGAAAGAAAGGAAAATAATAAGAAATCAGAGGATAGGAAGGACAGCTAAAGGACCAAGTTTGAAAGAGAGGGGAAAAAAACCTCCCTGATTTTAAAACGTAGAGGGCTTTGCTGAATCTGTTCAAGTATGGACTAAATGCAGGAGTGGATGTGGAGTTGATAGGCCCTTTGCCGGTGTGTTTTGAGCCGTTGGGTTTGGCATGAATGGGACCAAAAAGAGCAGTTTCTAGGCACTGTGATGCCCATCATCCCTAGGATGCAGAAGGGCGATGGGATTTGCTGGACAATGGGAACCACTGGACAATAGGGGCTGCAGGACGGTGGGAGTCACAGGACAATACTCTGGCCGACTATAAAACGCATGATGCACTTTTTTTATTGCACAACCCCTCCCTTAGTGGGTTGTTGTAGGTTTTTTCAGGCTATATGGCCATGTTCTAGAGGCATTAGTATTATTCTGCAAATTAAACAATAAATTAAACAATTGTGTTTTAAACCTCTTCGTCTCTGGATTCTGATTAAAAAGGAGGCCCTAAGGAAGCCATTCAGGGGCAACAATATTTCCGGGACAAGAGGGGGGCCTGATGGACAATGGGATTTCCTGGGCAAGTGGGGCTGCGGGACACTGAGAGCCATAGGACGGTGAGAGCTACAGGGCAGTAACAGGGACTGCAGAGCTGTGTAGGAGCTGCTGAACAAGAGGAGACCTGGTGGATAATGGGATCTGATGGACAATGGGAACCACTGGACAATAATAACAACAACAATAGTGACTGCAGATTGATAGGAGCCATGAGATTATGGGAGTTGCAGGACAATAGGGACTGCAGGATGGTACATTCCGATGCCTTGATGCTGGGCAATCAAGGTATCGGAATGATGGGAGACACTGGACAATGGGATTTGCATGACGATATAAGCTGCAGGGCAATATGGATTGCTGGGCAATGGGAGCCAGTGGGCAGTATCTGATGGACAAGAGGGGACCCGATGGATAACGGGAACTGCTGGACAATGGGATTTGCAGGGTCATGGGTGTTGGGGCTCAGCAGCAAGAGGCTGGGGATTTCTCAAGGGGCAAGGCGGGTGATGTGTTTCCCACTGAGGAGTCTGTGTGTGATCAGGGTGAATTGCAGGCCTTAGGTCAGAGAGAAGTGCCAACAGAGGATCAGAGACAGAGGATCTTTGGGAAAATGAGACAGAGGATCTTTGGGATTCCAATGTCCGTTCCTTAGGGACTGGGAAAAGTTTGTTTCTCTTGGGAATCAGCCTTCATAACCTGATATCAGATTATGCCTTCCCACGAGGGAGTGAAGGATAGATTAATAGGCATTCAGATAGACTCCGTGAGAAGTCCTTGGAAAACTTCCTGCTTTCATGCTTATGGAGTTATGCCTATGTTCCTGACTTCCTGGATTTCATGTACCTTGCTATTTTGGACTACCGATCTTTGTATACATGGACTATTGTACATATGGACTATTCTGCTTTTTGGGAAATGCCCTTTTCCCCCTTTTGTACAGGCTTTTGTAAATAAACTACTGTACTTAGTGATCACTGGACTCTGGTGTAGTGCTGGATGAAAAGGTGACTCAAGGCTAGAGTGCAACAATGGGAGCCATAGGATGGTGGGAGCTACAGGATAACAGGATAATGATGGCAGCTGTTGGATGAGAACACTATGCATTTGCCGGGCGAGAGGGGACTCAATGAACAACGAGGTTTGATGGACAATAGGGGCCTCAGCACAACAGGTGCCACTGGGCAACGGGTTCTGATGGAGGGTCTTCCTGTTGGTAAGGAGACATTGTTCCTTACCTTCTTTGGAGACGGCGGCAGCCCTCCCCCCGAGGTCGTTGAGGACACTGTCCACTGTCTGGTGGTGCCGCAGGAACCAGGGCCGCACCACATGCCGGTAAAGCACCTGCGAGCCATTCCAGGAGACAGGCGCCATGCACCAGACCAGGAAGAGGCTCTGCAACAATGAGGAGGAGGAGGATGGGAACTGACCGAATGACCCTCTCCCTAGGCATGGCCAGGGACCGAAGCAAGACTATATAATCCAAGTCAATGGATGGATGGACGGCCACTTGCACTTACCTTCCCAACGTAGTAGAAAGGGAACCAGTAGAGGAAAGTGTCGGAGAAGAACTCGGCAACGCTGAAGAGCCCATAGACCACCCAGTAGGTCAGCCACGTCGTGTCGTCCTCCTTGGCTGAGCTCTCAATGGCCTTGATGCTGGGGAAGAAAGGCATCCTTGCATCATTTCCATGAAGGGAAGGAGGCTTTTAAGACATGACTTCCCCCTTATTTTTGAGTGGCATTATACAGTATTTTCCGATCCTTTTTCAGATAGCAGGTGGGTTTTTAATGCATTACTTCCCTGTTATTTTCAAGTGGCAGGTGGGTCTTTTAATACTTTGCTTCCCCATCATTTCTAGGTGGCAGGTAGGTCTTTCAACACATTATTTCCATGCTTTTTAGGAAGCAGGTGGGTCTTTTAATAATAATAATCATCATCATCATCATCATCATCATCATCATCATCATCATCATCATCTTTATTTATATCCCGCCCCATCTCCCCAAAGGGCCTTGGGGCTGCTTACAAGACAGCAACAGTGCAAATAAAACACATAAAATGCACAATAAAATTAGGCTAAATCAATAAAAGTAAACACCAAGGGAAGACACCTTATTGCCAGGTAGCAGGTGGGTCTTTTAATACTTTATTTCCTTACCCTTTTTAGGAAGCAGGTGGATCTTTTAACACATTTCCAGGTGACAGGATTTTTAATACATGATTTCACCGTTATTTCCAAGTGGCAGGTGGGTCTTTTAATATATTATTTCCCCATTATTTTTAGGAAGTAGGTGGGTCTTTTCACACAATTATTTCCCCATTATGTTCAGATGGAAAGTGGGTCTTTTAATGCATGATTTCCCCATTCATTTTATGACAGCAAGTGTTTTTTTTTTTTTAATTCATTATATCCTTATCATTTTCAGGAAGAGGTGGGTCTTTTCATACATGATTGCCCCACCTATTCCAGGTAGGAGATGGGATTTTAAATACATTATTTCCAACTGGGAGGTGGTTTTTTTAATACATTATTTCCAGGTGGGAGGTGGGTCTTTTAATACATTATTCCTCCATCATTTTCAGGAAGGTGGGTCTTTTTTAATCCATGATTTCCCCACCACTTCCAGGTGGGAGGTGGGCCTTTGAATACTTACGAGGCATAGGCGGGGTAGACGAAGCCGATGAGGTTGCAGAGGAGGGAGGCCCCATAGCCGAACATCAGGTAGAGGCCCAGGAAGGCCACCACACCTTGGAGGGAGGGCGAGGAGGAAAGGTCCCAGAGAAACACAACAGAGAAGACACTGTGAGTTTGGGGAAGCCAAATGAAGCAACCAGAATAACGGAAACTTATGAAAGTTCTAGAACAACATGGCCCAAGATGCCGTGCCACTATTATGTGCAAAGCGGGAAACTTAGGTCCAGAATATGCGTCCATAAAGCTTCTATTTATATTATTACTAGCTGCCCCCCTGCCACGCATTGCTGTGGCCCAGTCTGGTGATCTGCAATATGAAGTAAAGAGAAAGTGTTGGTTTCTAATATATGTAATTTCTTTATGCTTGTGGGTAAACAGTATTTCTTGCTGTTTCTTTGTCAGTGTTGATGTGTCTGGAACATGCAACATATAATTGTCCTTCTTTAGGGGTTCCTTTCACATCTATGATACTATATCTGTGTGTGTGTGAATCATATCTATCTATATCTATCTATATCTATGGCTGGATGGCTCTTTGTCAGGAGGGCTTTGATTACGTTTTCTTGCCCTGGTGAAGGGAGTAGGACTGGATGCTGGTCATGGGGATTCTGTGTGGGAAGTTTGCCCCAATTCTGTCATTGGTGGGGTTAAGAATGCTGATTGTAGGTGAATTATAAATCCCAGTAACTACAACTCGCAAATGTCAAGGTCTATTTCCCCCAAACTCCATCTGTGTTCATATTTTGGCGTATTGAGCGTTTGTGCCAAGTTTGGTCCAGATCCCTCATTGTTTGAGTCCACAGTGCTCTCTGGATGTAGGTGAACTACAACTCCCAAACTCAAGGTCAATGCCCACCAAACACTTCCAGTATTTTCTGTTGGTCATGAGAGTTCTGTGTGGCAAGTTTGGTTCAATTCCATTGTTGATGGAGTTCAGAATGCTCTTTGATTGTAGGTGAATTATAAATCCCAGCAACTACAACTCTCAAATGACAAAATCATAATTTTTTGAGTGATGGTCACTCCTTGTATTGTGAGACGTTTTGTTGCCAAATTTGGTGTGATTTCGTTCATTGGTTCTTTTGTTTTTAAGGTACTCATTATGCACAGAACATTTTTTTTATGCACAGAGCATTTTTATAGATAGATAGATAGATAGATAGATAGATAGATAGATAGATAGATAGATTAGATTAGCCTGGGGCTACTTTGGAGGGGGAGCCTATTTCTAGTACTTATTCTTACCTTTCTAAGCAGATATACCATCCACAGATCAATGAAGGTTTGATAAGCATAAGACCTTACAAGGAGTGGGAGGACGCTGACTAGGAGTTGTTGCACTTTGACACTTTAGACCAGGGGTCCTCAAACTAAGGCCCGGGGGCTGGATGCGGCCCTCTAAGGTCATTTACCCGGCCCTCGCTCAGGGTCAACCTAAGTCTGAAATGACTTGAAAGCACACAACAACAATAACAATCCTGTCTCATCAGCCAAAAGTAGGACCACACTTCCTATTGAAATACTAATAAGTTTATATTTGTTAAAATTGTTCTTAATTTTAATTATTGTATTGTTTTTATGTGGGTTTTGCACTACAAATAAGATATGTGCAGTGTGCATAGGAATTCATTCATGTTTTTTTCAAATTATAATCCGGCCCTCCAACAGTTTGAGGGTCTGTGATCTGGCCTTCTGTTTAAAAGGTTTGGGGGCCCCTGCTTTAGACTTTATTGACTACTTGGCACTTCTGGCAACTTTATTTATTTGTTTGTTTATTTGCCGTATTTCTATCCCGCTTTTCTCAGCCCGAAGGCGACTCATGGCGGCTTACAATTTGCAGCAATTTAATGTCACAACAGTCATAAATACCATTAAAACATTTAACATGACATAATGGAGAGATACGTTCAGACATGTAAGCTGGGCTGGAACCGTTTAGGAACACTTACTGCGATTTTGGACAATTTACCTACACTTTACAAACTCTTAATAATAATAATAATAATAATAATAATAATAATAATAATCCTTTATTTGTACCCCGCTACCATCTCCCGAAGGACTCAGTGCGGCTTACAAGAGGCCGAGCCCACATACAATAGTAAAAAACAATAACAACAACAACAACAGCAAAGTAACTCAAAAAACAAAGCAATAACATTAACAACACACAATGACTCAATTAAAATCAATGGCAGGGCCAAATGTAATAATTAAGTTAAAAAGTGCTGGGCGTGACCAGGTGGAGTGTTAGGAGGAGGATGGGCATGCAGATATCCTAGATCTCTGATAAAGTGCGTTGGGACATAATGCTAAGAGTTTCCTTATTCTGGAAAGGCACACTGGAACAACCACGTTTTCGAGCTCCTCCTAAAGATTGCTAGCAACGGGGCCTGCCTGATGTCCTTAGGGAGAGAGTTCCAGAGTCGAGGGGCTCTATATAAGACCTATATAATCTGCTCCCATGGTGTTCTCTAACCCTTAGCACTTTTTTTTTGCACTTTGTGGGGGTTGGGGAGGGCTGGAGGAGGTGGGGAATGCAGGGTGAGGGAAGGATATGACTGGGGAAGGATGCCAGTTTCTAATGAACATTTTAGCCAAGTTTTAACCTTTGAGCCACAAGGAGTAAGTGGGGAGGTTGGATGTTTTGAGGGAGGAAGGGGTGCCACTGGTCGAGGGGCCCCCATAGTAGTAGTCTGGGAAAGGGGGAAATACGGGAAAGGGAGACCATCAATTCGGCCTAGGGAACGTGAGAGAACATTAGTAGTTCCAAAATGGTCTCCTGGCATGGTAAATCTGAGTACCCAGGATGGCGTTCCCTCTGGATTAAGGGTGGTGCTGTTGAACTCCAGACCTGTCAATGGGAAAACAGATTGCATCCAGGACTTAAACAGCTTTCATCCAGAAAACAGCTTTCATCCAGGACAGATCTGGTGTGCATAACGGAGACCTGGCTGGATGCGGCTGGAGGTGTAAATTTGACCCAGCTTTGCCCACCAGGCTACTCTGTGCAGTACCAGCTGAGATCTGGAGGGTAGGGAGGCAGGGTTGCATGGTCTATAGGGATTCCATCTCCCTGATCAGGTGCCCCATCCTGCAGTCAATCATTTTTTAATGTGTCCACCTGAGAGTAGGTGACCAGGACAGAATATGGACTCTGCTAGTGTACCGTCCAACCCGATGCACTAGTCTCCCTACCTGAGCTAGCCAGGATGGTCTCGTCTCGAGCCTGGCGTTGGGAGTCCCTACGGCTCATTGTGCTGGGGGAGTTCAACAGGATCACCTACCGAGGTGGCGGGAAATTTCCCAAGACCCATCAGGAATCCATCCGGATCCATAAGCCTCCTGGGGTGGACCATCTTAATGGGTCCTCCACCCCTGCAGAGGTTAGGGGGAGCAATAAGCCTAAACCTGATCAGGTGATGGTCAGTCCATGACAACGGAGCAACTAGGGCAATAGACACAATTGCTCCCGAACGTCCCTCTCGAGTAGCCGAGCTAAACCAGTCCCTTGGTCCAACAAGGAGCTGGCAGCAATGAAACGAAAGAAGAGGAGACTAGAGTGCGTGTGGCATTCAGAGCCTAGTGAGTCAAATCGAACACAGAAGTATGCCTTCTTAAGGGCATACGCCACGGCAATAAAAGTTGCACAGAAATCTTTTCTGGCAGCCAATATTGCGTCCGCAAAGAACCGTCTAGTGGAGCTGTTCCGAGCAGTCAGAGGGTTGTTAAAGCCCATCATCCAAGACGGGATCCCTGTCAACTCGGCAGCACGCTGTAAAGCATTTGCTCGGTTCTTTGCAGACAAAGTCGCATTGATCCATTCTGACCTGGATACCATGTTAACGGCAGTCTCTGAGGATCTAGCACGAGCATCCGCTTGTCTAGTTTTAATGGATTTATTTCAATTGGTGCAGTCCGAGGATGTGGACAAGATACTTGGAGAGGTGAGAGTGACCATATGCATCCTAGATCCATGCCCATCCTGACTGATAAAGGAAGCCAGAGGAGGTTTGGCAAAGTGGGTGAAGGTGGTGATTAATGCCTCCCTAAGGAAAGGCAATATCCAGCCAGCTTAAAACAAGCTGTAATAAAACCACTGTTGAAAAAAATAAATCACCGGACCCCACTCAATTCATCAACTATTGGCCAGTTTCCAAACTCCCCTTTTTGGGCAAAGTCCTGGAACATGTGGTGGCCTTGCAACTCCAGGTGTTCTTGGAAGACATGGATTATCTGTATCCGGCACAGTCTGGCTTTAGGAAGGGACATGGAACCGAGACAGCCTTGGTCGCCTTAGTGGATGATCTACACCGGGAGCTAGACAGGGGGAGTGTGTCCCTGTTGGTTGTGCTGGACCTCACAGCGGCCTTAGATACTGTTGACCATGGTATCCTTCTGGAACTCCTCACAGGAATGGGCCTTGGAGGTACTGTTCTGCAGTGGCTCCAGTCCTTCCCTAGAGGGCCGTTCCCAGAAGGTGTTGTTGGGGGACACCTGCTCGACCCCCCCAGCCATTGTCCTGTGGGGTCCTGCAAAGATCAATAGTTGTTTAACATCTACATGACACCGCTGGGGGAGATCATCTGGAGTTTCGTAGTGCGGTGTCACCTGTACGCAGATGACGTCCAACTCTGTCACTCCTTCCCACCTGCTACTAAGGAGGCTATTCAAGTCCTGAACCGGTACTTAGCAACTGTGATAGTCTGGATGAGGGCAAACAAATTGAAATTAAATCCAGATAAGACAGAGGTACTTCTGGTCAGTTGAAAGGCCAAACAGGGCATAGAGTTACAGCCTGTGTTGGATGGGGTTATACTCCCCCTGAAGACGCAGGTTCACAGCTTGGGAGTGATCCTGGATTCATCGCTGAGCCTGGAACCCCAGGGGAGCATTTGCACAGTTAAAGCTTGTGCGCCAGCTGCACCTGTACCTTGGGAAGTCTGACTTGGCCATGGTAGTCCACGCTCTGGTTACATCCTGTATAGAATACTGCAGTGCGCTCTACGTGGGGTTGCCTTTGAAGACTGTTCAGAAGCTTTAAATGGTCCAG